GCGTCTTCAGCTAGATACAGCCTCGGACATCACAATTATCTCCAGCAAAACTTGGCAGTATATTGGTGCTCCATCAATCTGCCGAACGACACAGGTTGCAGTTAATGCTTCAGGAGGTTAACTTAATCTCATTGGTGAGCTGCAGTGTGAAATGGTTTTTGGCGCTGTTCGGGCAAACGGTGTCGTGTACATTACTGGCCTGTCACATTTGAATCGGCTTGGACTCGACTGGATCCAGAAGCTCCACCTGTTCGACATTCCCCTGAGTCAAGTCTGCAATACCCTCCGGCTCTGATATACGAGACTCTGTTCGGAAGGTGACGAACCAAACAACATACTGATCGAGCAGCCACGAAGGGAATTCCCGTCTATGTTTTGCAACGCCTTGGGAAGATGCACAAACACCAAAGCAAACCTTACTCTCAAAAACGGTGCCAAACCGGTATTCCGACCCAAAAGACCGGTACCGTACGCTGCGCTTCCAATTGCTGATGCGGAACTTGACCGTTTGGAGCGGGCCGGCGTCGTCCAACCTGTGAACTATTCAGCGTGGGCAGCACCTGTTGTTGTGGTCGAGAAGTCCAATGGAACCGTTCGTATCTGTGCTGACTACTCTACGGGCTTGAATGCTTCTTTGAAAATGCACCAGTATCCTTTGCCAGTCCCAGAAGATTTATTTACTAAGCCCAGTAGTGGCGCTTACTTTGCAAAGCTAGATTTATCAGATGCTTATCTTCAAATTAAAGTCGACGATGCTTCAAAGGAGTTTCTGTCAATCCATACCACCGAGGTCTTTAGCAGTTCAACCGTTTGGTGTCAAATCAGCTCCCGCGATTTTTCAACAAATTATGGATACTATGTTAGCTGCGTTACCAGGAGTCGCAGCTTGCTTGGACGACATCATACTCAAAGGGTCTACCTTTCGAGAGCTGACGGAAAGACTGGAAGCAGTTCTCCACCGCGTTAACGACTACGGTTTCCACTTGAAAGCAGAAAAGTGCAATACCGGCATGAAGTGTGTAAAGTATCTTGGCTTCATCATCGACAAGGATGGCCGTCGTCCCGATCCTTCTAACATAAGTGCCATAAAACAGATGCCTCCCCCTGACAATGTCGCGAAGCTCAGATCATTCTTGGGGTTGATCAGTCATTACAGCTCTTTTGTACCCGAAATGCATCGGCTACGAGGACCACTCAATGAACTTCTGGTAAAGGATCGCAAATTTGTGTGGTATCCTGAATGTCAAGCCGCATTTGATGATGTCAAGTCTATATTGTGTTCTGACCTATTGCCAACGCGTTTCAATCCGGAGCTGGAGATCATAGTTGCTGCTGACGTGTCAGACTGCGAAATTGGAGCAGTTATATCCCGCATTTTTCCCAATGGTTCGGAGAAAGCTGTGGCACATGCAGCCAGATCACTCACCCCAGCGAAACGTAACTATGGACAGATTGAGAAAGAAGCTTTGGCCATAGTGTTTGCAGTCAAGCGGTTTCAAAAAATACTCCATGGGCGAAAATTCACGCTGTTCACTGACCACAAACCCTTAGTCGCAATCTTTGGATCAAAGAAAGGCATTCCAGTCTGTTCGGCCAGTCGTCTCCAACGCTGGGCAACTGTTCTACTTGGTTACGATTTCGTCATCAAATATCAATCTACACACAACATTGGTCAAGCGGATGCCTTATCTCGTTTAATTGGTACACAGCATCAAGAACCAGAAGATTTGGTAGTTGCTCAAATCTCCGTAGAACCCCAAGTACAGCAAGTTGTGTCCGACATTTTCGGTGCCTTACCAGTAACGTCCGAAAGTGTGCAGGAGGCGACCCATCATGATTCTGCCCTACAACAAGTGATTGATTTCCACCTCAATGACTGGCCTAAGAGAGTTACAACGCCGGAGCTTCAACAACTCCACCAACAAACGGGAGCACTATCAGTTGTTTGCGGTTCTCAGATCGCGTCGTCATTCCTCACATCCTTCAAGAGAGAGTCCTCCGATAATTTCATACTGGCCACCCAGGAAGGAATCGCATGAAATCACTGGCACGAAGCTAGGTGTATTGGCCCTATATGGATTCCCAGATTGAGAATGTAACCAAGTATTGTTCCCGACGTGCCAGTGTATCTAAACAGCCAAGGAAGACGGAATTGCAATCCTGGCCAATACCAACAGAACCATGGTCAAGGGTACACATCGACTTTGCAGGTTCAATTGACGGTCATCATTTTCTCATCGTTGTCGATGCCCACAGTAAATGGCCAGAGGTGATTCCGATGGTGAGAACCACCGCAGCAGCCACTGTCTCCGCTCTTCGACGTATTTTCTCGTTTCGGTGTTTCCCACACGTTGGTTTCGGATAATGGTACACAATTCACCTCCACTGAATTTGTTGTCTTCTGTCGCATATACACGATCGTCCATATAAGGTCTCCACCTTTCCACCCACAACCGAACAGGCAAGCGGAACGTTTTGTGGATACACTCAAAAGAGCCTTGCTAAAAATGAAATGGGTAGGTACCTTGGAGGAGATTCTTGACACATTTCTTCTGACGTATCACATAACTCCAAATCTGCAGACACCGAACGCACTATCTCCGGCTGAAACTTTGTTTCAAAGGAAAATCCGTGTGCCGCATGATGCCCTCAGACCCAGGAAGGATCAGTTACTGTCCCGCAACTATCAGATGGAGCGTCAATTCAACATCCGACACGGTGCTTGGAAGCGAGCCATTTAATGTTGGCCAACAAGTTCTGGCGAGAGATTATCGCGTTCACTATCCTAAATGGGCTATGGAACGTGTGTTATTCTAACTTGGTAACATGATCTACGGTATCCAGGTTGGGACGGCAATTTTGGTAAGACATGCCAATCAGCTGCTAGAGGCAGGGACTGGCGAACAACTGCAACAACAAATACCAGCAGCGTAGTTACCTCTGGACGTACTGGCCGACACGGGTGAAGCGAAGACTCCCCAACATGCCCCAACACAGCAAGCACAACATTTGCCCCGAAACCTAGCAGCACCGTGGCCGAAGCGGCGACGCAAATTCGTGTCACTCATGCAAGTCAACCCCAAGCTGAAATCGTACGACACAATTCAAAGGGGGGAAGTGTTAGGAAGGAATATGCGATGCGAACAAGCCAGGACCCCATCACAGCGGCCGGCGATCCAAACTCATCCGCCCCGATTGGAGCGAACAGAGAGCCAACCGGGAGAAGCGGCCAATTAACGCGAGGGCGATGTTCCTTTATTGGCTGTAAGTTGACCTTTCCAGAGCTTTCCACGTTCGCTTTAAATACCATTCACGAACTTTCCATGTTACCTTTCTAATGAACGGTGTGCTTTGCTAATTCATCCCTGTTTCTCTGCTCGTCCAATCCGGTCTTCTCTCTGTCCTGTGGGGGGCCAGCGACTTCGGGTTTTGATTGGGAATCAAGTGTCCATTCAGGCGGGGGACGAACACTTCAGTCTACGTGAAGAAGCAAATGAACAGAGCAGCTGATTGGACGCCTACGCATATTTCGCCTATGCGCTCATTAGTTCGTATTTGGCTACGCTGGAGCAGGTTTGTTTGATTGATCCAAAGGAAGAATCTCATGAATACAGAGGCCTCGTTAGTTATGGAGGTGACCGAGTTATTTACATTGCGGCTTTTGCATACTGGTTATGCTATCATTTTTACTGAGCTTGCTTTGTCGAATAAATCGTTTGTCCCTGAAAGACCGAGTTCTGCGACACTAGGGATTGACCGCGTATGTGTTTGGATGCTCTCAGATATGCTACTTTTACGAATTCGGTCGCTCTTCTGCATACTTTCCCTTATTTTTAAACCCGAACTTTCTTTTTGTTAATTCTATTTCTTGCTCGTTTCTATTGTTGTTCTTGGTTGTTTTGGCGATGCGAGTTGCGGCCTCTTGATCCACTACACTTTGATTCATGAGTCGTACTCGTTATGCAAATGCTTAACTGAACTGTGTTAACCATAAAATTAATCATTTTAAGCTAAGAATTTTATCTGTTTCGACCCCTGATGCCTTCGCAGCATGTCTCACGTCTGGTAGTTCCACCCTGTGACAAGGCACTTCAGTGCAATATGGTGTCATCGTTCGAACTTAACTGCCCATAATTTGCGTTTCGTATCCCTTTAAGTTCAAACCGATCTCATATATAATGCTTTCTACTTTGTTTTCTGCTGTTCTTGAGTTGGGTTAAAATCATGGGGGCGAAACAAATCGACAGGTTCTGTCGCTCTATGTTCTGCTTGGATCCGGATCTCGGTGGCTGAAAAGGAGACCTTGTAGTCCAAAGGTCGCCGGTTCGAATCTGCGTAGATGCGCACGACCTTGCAGTATCCCTTATCCTCGCGCGGCTGGTGGTGACCACATTGTCTTGCACTACTGATGAGTAGTATGTGTAAAAATGAGGGAGCGTGAGGATACCGGAGCAATCATTGTTCTCTGAAAAAGAATGACGAGTCGTGCACAGATCAACTACCGCCAATACGCTGTGTATGAATGTGCGCAGCAGAGGAAGTGAACAGGTGGACCTGACTTTCTATGTTCGAATTCTCATAATGTCTAGACGTGGGTTCTCCAACACGCAGCTCATCTGCACTGCTTTGCGTTCTCCACAAAGTAACCGCGGAATGCCGGTGTCGCGTTGATTTTTGCACTTGCGTAGTCTTGCATTGTTTTATCAGTCTGTATCGTCTAACTGTTCGACGTTGTTTCAATGCTCTATCGCTTCTTTTGCAATCATTGATCGTCGTTATTCCCTGCTGTTACTTTTGCTTATATTGACGTAGTGTGTCAACACAGTCTACTTCAGTCCTCAGACCATAATAAGCTGACTGAGCTATGCCGATCTAATATGTGAAGTGCACTGTCACAACCGTCGCGAGTTTCCTTGTACTGTCGCGTCGTTGTTCTCATTGGATTGTCATTAGCAGCCACGCTCGAGCTAACTTCTGTTTCTACCACTTCTTTTCTCTAGGACCCTCTTGCTGTCTGTTTTGTCAAGACTGCTGACGCTTGCATCAGAAGCTGCGTACACTCCTCTATTCGTTCTGAGGAGCTGGCTAAGTTTGCCTACAGCTCCACCTTTTGGTGTCAGTGACGAGAATAAGTCATCAACCCCACAGTCCGTCGTCATCTTTCCGCCGCATCCACATCTCGCTTTCCGAATTCGCTCTCCCATACTCTCATCTGATGGGGATGATGACACACTGTCGCCTGATCAAACACCTGTGCCCTACCGAGCTGTGATCCAAGTGGAACCTGTATGTGACGTACAACTTCAGTCGGGTTGCATGCGCTCTGCAATTGAACTCCTTCGATTTTTGAATCCTGATCAACACTCCCAGGATGCGCCTGCCTTGAACGATGAACCACCACCGGCTTTAGGTACTGCGGCATTGGACGTAGGGAACTCGGATTCGGATACCAGTGGGATACGCACGCTGACGGCAGATTTGTTTCTCAGCCTCATTGCGGTATGTTTATCTGTCTATACTTCCTAACTGCCTATCCTTATGTTGACGAAGTTTCTCCAACACTTTGTATTACTGGTTTTCGTGCGTTAAAAGTGCCAAAAGGCCCTTCGTTCTTTGTTGCTGCCGTGGTAGAATCCATACGGATCTGTGTGTACGCTGGTAACACCCCAATCACTCCTCTCGCATTGTTGCGCCTACACTAGCTGGGAAATAAGGAGACTGCTTCGAAGTTTATTCGGATATGTTAACTTGATTCGCATTTCCTGCCGTTAGCTGCATCAGAGGCGTAGCTACAACAAGTGCATAGCACTGGTATGTTCATTGTCTACAAGAGAGTGGTGGAAGATTTGAATGACATAAGTAGAACTTCATCACATCTAATAACTTAGTCACGGCTGTCGATACCGTGCGCCGTAGCTCAGTGCTCTCAGCTACAGACTGGCAACAATCGAGTTGCGAGTTCGAGCCCCGCATGGGTCTGATAACATGCGCACTGCTGACGATTGCCGAAAGGATGAAGCTGCGGTACGGTGCTTTTCCGGGCATGCGATGGCTGCCTGACAGAGTCTAGATGTGCTGACTTTCTGCCTATACCATTCAGATCCCCATTACTTAATTAATTTATTAATTAAGTAATTAATACGCTGATCAAACTGCCTACAATGCCACAAGTTACTCGGCCGGCTAAGTTCGTCGCTTGGTGAGGGGCGTACCATGTTCTCTGCATGAGTGTAACATGCAAATCAGTAGGTAGTGAGCTGCACTATATCACGTCTAGTATGTTAGGCACGACTAAAAACTGACTGATTGGCTGACTTACGGTATTTATCAACGATAGCGGCTGTCTCCTTCCTTCAGTCAAGAATGGTGTGCTGCACCTACGGCTGTTGTTCATTTTGTCTTGGCTGTGGCGTTTCTCCTGATGCATCGGCCTTACACCAATTACTGTTTAGTCAGGATGAAGGCATCAGCAGTACGCCGGTACGCAGTACCAACGCTTTGCTGCCGCGCAACCACCACCGGTCGCACGTGGGCTAAGGATACTGCGAGGGTCGCCCTGCCTCTACGCAGGCTCGAACCCGCGCCGTCAGATTACAAGACAAGCTTGTTACCTTTAGGCTACGGACCGGATGTTTATCTCATCGGTACGCTTGAGGTACACTCGAGCAGCTGCTCCGTTGCACACTTCAATTTTGTATAACGAACATGGTTTGTGGGATAGAATCCACCGTCCAATGTCTAAGACTGATGACTACTGCTCCAAAATAAGCGAATCAGCGTGCAAGAATTGTTTGCCGCAACATTTATGAGTTCCACTTTTTATTACAAAAATGTCAATATAATTTGTTCTCGGCAGTGCGTATCACGATTTGGTGTAGGTCTTTTCAAATTAGTGCTTAATGGCTTATTAGAGTAGTATGGTGTTTCATTTTGTTTTGTGCAGGTTCCTCGCAGCTAGACTCAGCCAGACGGCCACCACACATTCATGGAAGCGCTGGTGGCCGTTTCGTTCTATCGGGACACCTCAGTACCGCGCACCCGCCAGATCCTGCCGGATCCGAACTCATCGAACATGGACTTGTCACTGAACCATTAGTGACGGCGGCAGACTACCATAACTGATATGTAACTGAGATATAGCGCTGCTCACCCTCCACTGTCATGCAGCTTATGAAGGTGCAGAAGACAGGGCTGGTCTCCTGTGTTATGACTTCGTTCGAGGTAGCATGTAAGCTGCTAAGGCGATTACTGATTATTAGTGAATAATAAGAGGGTTTGTTGTGTTTTTGAGAAGATTCTTCGCAGCTAGACTCAGTCAGACAGCCACTACCCATCCCAGATCATTGTCTGACACCTTAATCACAGTCTGCGAAAAATCGTTGGCGCCCGGGGTACGTTTACTTTGCGACACGCAATCTTTATGGAGACATTGGTTCCCTTTAAAGCAGATCTCAATCATTCTACTCCTAGCTCCGTCTCTCTCTAACTAGTTAATCCATAGAAGGACGCAACCGATCGTGAAATCCATTGTTTGGAGCGAACCACGTTACAGCACGTTCTCGATGATCGGAATGACCGAAGTCTACTTCAAACTGAACCGATTGCGTGTCACAGTCCTAACGCACTTCAGGTACTCCGAAACTCATGTATGATGTTGGCAAGAGAGTAGCGAACCAGACTTGTTAACTTGAAGTCTTTGAAATTGATATAGACCGGTGCACGCTTACTGGAAGGTGCACTCCGTCGAAATCACCTTGGGGGTCAAGAAGTTGTTTCAGCTTTCCTTTTCATTCACTATGTTGACTCGAAAACTTCACCCAAGTAATCACCAAGATAACTTGTTCCACTCTGGCATGTGCCTTCCACCCCTCTCTCTTGACACACGCCCTGGGACTATCGTTTATTGTGGTTATTTCACGAACCTCAATCTCTCCTTACCGTTCGTGTTTGAAGACGCCCACCACGATACTAAAAAACATCATACCACTAGCGTCCGTCGAATCGTGGCTAGTTCTGCCCACCCACAATCGCTATGTAGAGAAGGATGGAAACTGATTTTGGCGCACGTCCGAGATTGAATCGTTGCATTGACGGCATTCTCGTCTGCCTTTCAGAGCGGCTTTCTTGCTCGATTACTGGAGGAGAACAAGAACACGAAGACAGTGGTTAACTGTAATTTTCTTTGTTCCATTTTATCTCAAGTTGATTACCTTTTTTAGAGGCTACGTGTTGTATACTACAACTTTCTTCTCAACCCTTGGAGTTCTTCCGTGCTTGCATGCTACAAAGTGGCGACCCTGCCAGGATGTCGGAAGTAACGGAAAAGTCGTCTGAAGTCTCAGGAGCGTCAGGGACGGAGCTGTCTTCAATTCTGACAATGTTGTCAGGTATCTTGGATAATCTTGCTTGTCGACCTATAATTGTCCCAAAACTTCCCACGATTCCCTATTCAAAAATATTTTCTGTTGGCATACACTACCATAGATGGGCGAAGCAAGCTTCAGCGTGCATCCTGCTTTTCCCAGAGTCCGTGCGAGGAAATATATTATTAAGATTACTGGAAGATGAATTCTTCGACATTGTGGCCGATAGCACGGTATTGGAGAAATAGGTTAACGCATCTACCTCTGAAGAGTTCGCTTGGCTTCTGGATTTTCCACTGCTTCCCACGCAATGGCGCCAAGCATTCCACTCTCGGGACCAAATACCAGACAAGAGTCTGAGAGCTTTCTTTCGTGATCTGAAACGCCTCACTGAGCGCGCGTTTACGGACGAAAATCGAGGAGTGCAACAGAAACGTATTCTGGAATAGTTGGCAGGGGCGTGCATACACCGTCTATTAAACGCAAGTTCTTGTTACACCCACCACAACAATTAGACTATGTTCTGGAATTAGGGGAGGAACTTGGATGCGGCTATAGGTGTAACATTGAGCTGCGCCGAACGGAAGGAACATGTTGAACTAAGCAGAAACCCACAGCAAAATGACCCGCGTCGCAGGAATCTCTGGGATACTGCGTACATTCGTGAGCACAAACAACAGCCGGGGTGTCGAAGGTGTTCGTTCACCGTACTAGCATCGTGTTTTGTTCTAAGAGGAAGTCACCGCTTTCGTACGCCACCGGAAGCAGGAACATAGTGTCAAGCCCATCGCGTGTACTCAGCCCCACGACCAACCAGTCCATTACGCCTCCGGATACTGCGACCACAGCCGCTGATTCGCGGACCTCCCAGGTCCGTTAGTGATAACAGGACAAAGCCAAGTGACTTTGGCTATGTACAAACCGGTTTCATACCTGCCGTTGTATGCACGTTGGCTACAAAATCTGCGTTGACAACAGAAGTACACGTCGCGGTGGTCCTATCACTGGGTGCGTGTAAGAGGCTTATCAGGTTCAGCCTAACTAGACGGCTAACAGATTGGATGCGGGCACCTTGTCGCTACCGTCTAACTGCTGCCAACGGAGAATCGTTACCCGTTCGGTAATCCCTGACGGCGCATGTCGATATCGCAAACTAAAATTTCAACCACGAGTTCATCGCGCCTCATAGAATTCCCTTCGATATAATCATTGAGATGGATCTGTTATACCGTTTAAGATGTCCATTGGATTTGGACAAGTGCCTTCTAATCACAGAAAACTGCGCTGTTTCATTTAGACCTTACGCAAGTGTTAGTTTGGAAGGCTTCGTGATTTATGACGATAGTTCAGACAATAAACAAAACGTTAACGCTTTCATTCGCTCCCTCGACTTGTCCACTGACTGACATTGAAAGAACTTCAAGCCTTGTTACAGAATCATGCGGAAGCATTTGCATGACATACGGATGATCTGGGTCGAATCAACTTCGTAAAACACTGCATCGACACGGGGGATACGATTCAGATTAAAACACCCCGGAGACAAATCCCGCTACATTGACAGGGGGAACAACAAAAGCTGATAGACGAAATGCTAAAAAAGAAGGATGTACGGCCATCTACTTTCCCATGGGCAACCCCTGGGGGTGCTCGTGAAGAAGCAGGATGGTATTTTTCTGTTATGTGTTGATCGGAGACGATTAAAGGAAGTCACTCGGAAGGACGAGTTTCCACTTCCTAGAATCGAGGACTTATTCGACGCGTTGGCAGGATCTGGCTTTGGGCTGTTGTCAAGTAGAAGTGGAGGCGAATGATAAATCGAAAAACGCATTCTTGGTATCATCAGGGTTTTATGAATTCCAAACCATGCCTTTTGGTCTCATGGAATCACGTGCTACCTTTCAACGCCCGATGTAGAAGGTTTTACAGCGATTGATCCTGCAGAACTGCCTCGTTAACCTGGTCGATGTTATCGTACATGGGAAAGCAAAGAAGGAACACTTGAACAATTTGGTTGACGTATTGAAACGCCTGATCGAAGTAGCGCTCACACTCAAACTGACCAAGTGCCATCTTTTAAAGGAAGAAGCAATGTATCTCGGGCACATCTTTTCGGGAATGGGGATTCGAACTGAT